TTGGTCATGTTGTAAGAAGGGACCATTCCCTGGAGAAGGATGTCATGCTTGGTAGGGTGGAGGGTCGACGAAAGAGGGGGAGGCCTTCAACAAGATGGATTGATACAGTGGCTGCGATGATGGGCTCAAGTATAGCAGGGATTGTGGGGCTGGCGCGGGTTCGGGCAATGTTTCGTTCTGCTGTGCATGGGGTCGCTATGAGTCGGAAACAACTCGACGGCACTTAACAACAACAACAACAACCCAAATACCTCCCAAAAGTATTTTCCTTGGTGTTATGATTATTGTTGTTGTTCTGTGTCATCAAGTTGGCTCTGACTCATAGCAACACTATGTACAACAGAATGAAACACTGCCCAGTCATGTGACATCTTCATACTCCTTGCTATACTTGAGCCCATCACTGCAGCCACTGTGTCAATCCATCTCATTGACGGTCTTCCCCTTTTTTGCTGACCTTCTCCTTTACTCAGCATGATATTCCTCTCCAGGAAATGATCCCTTTTGACAACTTGACCAAAGTAGATGGGATGAAATATGGCCATTCTTGCTTCCAAGGAGCAATCTGGTTGCACTTTTTGCAAGACAGATCTGCTCATTCTTCTGGTAGTTCATGGTATTTTCAATATTCTTTGCCAACACTATAATTCAATGGCATCAACTTTGATCTTCCTTAGTCATTGTCCAGCTTTCACATGCATATGAGGCAATTGAAAATACCATGGCTTGGGTTGGGCACACATTAGACTTCAAAGTGACAACTTTGCTCTTCAACACTTTAAAGAGGTCTTTGTAGCAGATTTACTCAGTGCAATATGACATCTGATTTCTTGACTGCTGCTTCCATGGGTGTTGATTGTGGATCCAAGTAAAATGAAATCTTTGACAACTTCCATCTTTTCTCCATTTATCATGATGTTGCTTCTTGGACCAGTTGTGAGGATCTTTATGATGAGGTGTAATCCATACAGAAGACTGTAGTCTTTGATCTTCATCAGTAAATGCTTCAAGTCATCTTCATTTTCAGCAAGCAAGGTTGTGTCATCTGCATATTGTAGTTGTTAATGAGTTTTTCTCCAATCTTGATGCCATGTTCTTCTTCATATGGTCCAACTTCTTGGGTTATTTGCTCAGCATACAGATTAAATAAGTATGATGAAAGGATACAACCCTGATGCATGCCTTTTCTGATTTTAAACCATGCCGTATCTCCTTGTTCTATTTGAACAACAGCCTCTTGGTCTATTAACAGTTTCTTCATGAGCACAATTAAGTATTCTGGAAATTCCCATTTTTTGCAATGTTATCTGTAATTTGTTATGACCCACACAGTCGAATGCCTTTGTATAGTCAATAAAACACAAGTAAACATCTTTCTGCTGCTCTTTGTTTTCAGCCAAGATCCATCTGACATCAGCAATGATATCCCTCATTCCATGTCATCTTCTGAATCCAGCTTGAATTTCTGGAGGTTCCCTGTCAGTATACTGGTGCAACAATTTTTAATTATCTTCAGAAAAATTTACTTGCATGTGATACTAATGATATTGTTTGAGAATTTCCACATTCTATTGGATCATCTTTCTTCAGAATGGGCACAAATATGGAACTCTTCCAGTCGGTTGGCCAAGTAGCTCTCTTCCAAATTACTTGGTATAAATTAGTGCCTCCAGTGCTGCAACCATTTACTGAAATATTTCAAGGGGTATTCCATCAGTTTCTGGAGCCTTGTTTTTCACCAATTCCTTCAGTATAGCTTCGACTTTTTCCTTTAGTACCACTGGTTCTTGATCATATATGCTACCTCCTAAAATAATTGAACTTCAGTCAGTTCTTTTTGGACAGTGACTCTGAGTATTCCTTCCATCTTTTGATGCTCCCTGTATCATTCAATATTTTGGCCATAGAATCTAATATTGCAACTCAAGGCTTGAATTTTTCCTTCATTTCTTTCAGTTCTATGATTATGTGTTATATTTATTTATTTATTTTTCATTCACTTGTCTGGTCTTGTTTGTAGCTTAGAGAAAGGAAATTTTAAAAATTACATTTCCCAGGCTCTCTTTGCTCTCAGGTTTCTGAATATGGCATGTTTGCTAGCGGAATTTACTGTTATGAGATTTGGAGGGTGGAAGTTAGGCAGAAGTTATCTCAGCAGTGGACACTTGGGTTTCACAGACATAAGTTTCAGCAGCAGGCTTGTGTTCCCAAGACATTCCACTCCCTTAGGGTTCCAGAGGAGCTGTGACATGGGCAAAGGCTTCCTATAAGTTCCTGGCCTCTTAAAGTTAGGGATCTGCTCTTGAAGAGTTCCTAACAATTGTAAGGTATAATTCCCTGTATACACCCACTAGCTACTCCTTGGAAGGAAGATTGGGCAATCTACTTCTGTAGTGATATCACCTCAGAAACCCAAGGAGGGGTTGGTATGAGTCAGATCCGACTCCACGGTAGTGAGTTTGATTTTGGTATGGTTTAAAATGCCTACAGCGATTTCTGAGATTCATCCATTTATTGTCATCAAAAAGACTTCAATCAGGAACCCTGGGAGATTCCTTCAGACATAGAAGAAGCTAGAGTTTGGGAGAGAAAAGGGAAACTTTAACAGTGTACAAATTTCTCTCCTCTCACAGAGAAAAGGAACTGAAAGTCCCTCAAATGTAATAGCTTTGCAAGAGAACCAATCAGTATTTTAGGACTAAGTGATATCATAAGTTGCTGAGCAACATCTTAGATTCAAGATTCTATTACAACACATAAAGTATCTTTGAATTTATCATATATTTATGAGTATCTTCTAAAAACTAGGCATTAAGACAAACTGTGAAGGGTAGGCATAGAATAATCAGCTTGATTTTTCCTCCAAAGAGATGACATGCCTAAAACATAGGATCAGACTTTCAGCGTAGACTAATACTGTAGAGCTGTCATTTGGTCCATTTTCCTGCCTCCAGGAAATATACTCCTTGATAATTCTAGAGCAGAACTGTACTGTGGGTCTTTGATTGAGGAGTCAATGTCAAAAGATGTACAAAGCCCTTAGATGTGATCATAGAATATGAGGCTCTATAGGGTGTTTGCCCCACTATTTGTGAAAGAAACTGTATGACAGAATAAGATCATGTGTCATGACTGATATTAAATGATAGACTCACCATCTGATGGGTGGCCATGCTGCCAGGTTCCTCTTCAGTAGCAAGATTTGGATCCCAACCCTTTCAACTGTCTTTTCTATGTGTAGTTAAACATATTCCCTTCCATTGTACTAGCTTTTCACAATCATGAGAGTCAAAGTGTCCTAAGTTGCAATCTTCTCTATGCTTGGTTAACATTGAAATACATTCTTTGAATCAGAACAATCAATTCAACAATCTTATGACATGATGGACAGAATGATAAAGCCCTTGTTTATTGTCTTTAGCGTTCCCCGTAAAATATGCTCTGTTCAAATTACTCCACCATATTAGTTGACCTGAGTCTCCAGGTGAGATGTGTCTCCAACAGTCTGCTCCAGTCTCCGGTCATATTTAAGATGATAGGAATTAGGAGAAGGTATCCCTTTTATAACCCAATGTTTTCAGTAACCTCCAGTGTTCCAAGATGTAGGTTTCCATCCTCGGCCACTTTTGAGAGTGTTGAAACTCAGCTTCCCCTTTGATATTCTGTAAGGATAGCCTGTCTCCAGGTATCACAAGCTCTTGGGCTGAGTTGCCATTGTAGGGTCTAGGAAACTGGAGGAGAAGCATGAAGCAATAAACTTGCTCACCTAGTACTGCCATGATTCAAGCATTCTCCATGGCTTGACAGTTTACTTGCTCCTTAGATGATTTATTGTCCTTACATAAACTCCTCAGCTTTCACAACCCAGAGGCACAATCTGTACCTGACTCTCATTTTAGGATGTTTTTGTTGATTCCATTCTCACTAATGTGTTTCAGATAGATCCCTTTTCAAAGCTTAGTTTGGGATGGAAGAATCTATGAGTAATTACTCAACATTGTCAACAACTTCATTATCTGCTGTTTATTTGTTTGCTTATTTGTCTGATTGATTAAGAACTTTATTTCTTTATCTAATGAACTAGTAAATACTATCTCCTTTCTTGGACCCTTTACATGAGCCCTTTCCTTAGAAACAGGTGTGTCATCTCAAAAGATTTTCCTGATTGGCTGCAGCTCAATTCACCTGAGTTTTAACATGGGCAACTCTACTATATCTTCAAATCTCATTTCTTTTATTTCTATCTGTGTTGGTGTACTCTTGAGCTCTATTGACTGTCATCAAAGCATCCATGAAGCCAATGGCCCTAAGTGGAGTCCCATTACTAGGATTATTCATCATGGCTGTCCTGATGAGCTCTCAGGAATCAGGGGCTATCAAAGGTAGGTGCTGAGAGAACAGTAATTAAAGACAGTCGGTTATGAGATCATGGAAAATGAACTGTGGACATTTTTAAGATAATCTTTGGAGCAAGAGAAAAGTATAATAGCTATAATGTGTGGCTGAATCCAAAAGTATAACAAATTGCAGTGTGGAGGAATTCTCTCACCACAAAATGAGGTTAAATTTAGTTCATAAGAACAAAACTATGTTTTATATAAGTTGATACCACTGACTTTGATAAGGCTAAACCTAAAGGAAAAATATTCTCTGATACTCATTAACAAGGTTTCTCTCAAAGCTTTACTTTCTCTTCCTGGAAAATTGGTAAAATTAAAAATTAAAGACCTCACATAGTTTTGTGAGGATTAAGTGAGATAAAGTATAAGTAATCCTCAGCACTGTTCTTAGCTGAGATGTGGTAGTTATTTTTGGAAAGGCCACCTGGGTGGTGCACTCAGTTACTAACTTAAAGGTTGTTGGTGGTTTGAGTCCACTGAAACACCTTGGAAAAAGTACATGGCAATCTATTTCTAGAAGGCCATAATCACTGAAAACCCTATGGGTTGTTGTTGTTAGGTGCCATTGAGTTGGCTCTGACTCATAGCGACCCTATGTATAACAGAACCTAACACTTCCCTGTCAAATGCCAGCCTCACAGCCTTGCTTTACCTGAGCCCATAGCTGCAGCCACTGTGTCAGTCCATGTTGACTTCCCCTTTCTCGCTGACCCTCCACTTTACCAAGCATGATATCCTTCTCCAGGGAATGGTCCCTTCTGACAACATGACCAAAACAGATGAGATGAAGTCTGGCCATTCTTACTTCCAAGGAGCATTCCGGCTGTACTTCTTACAGAACAGAGTTGTTAGTTCTTTTAGCAGTCCATGGTATTTTCAGTATTCTTCACCAGAACCACAACTCAGAAGCATCGACTCTTCTTCCATCTTCCTTGTTCATTGTCCAACTCTCACACGCGTATGAGGCAATTGAAAATACCATGGCTTGGGTTAGGCACACCTTAGTCTTCAAAGAGACATCTTTGCTCTTCAGAACTTTAAAGATGTCTTTTGCAGCTCATTTGCCCAGTGCAATATGTCGTCTGATATCTTGATTGCTGCTTCCATTGGTGTTAATTGTGAAAGCAAGCGACATGGAATCTTTGACAACTTCAATCTTTTTTCCATTTATCATGATATTGCTTATTGGCCCAGTTGTGAGGATTTTCGTTTTCTTTATGTTGAGGTGTAATCCCTACTGCAGATTATAGTCTTTAATCTTCATCAGTAAGTGCTTCAAGTCATCCTAACTTTCAGCAAACAAAGTTGTGTCATCTGCATATCGCAGGTTTTTAATGAGTTTTCCTCCAATCCTGATGCCATATTCTTCTTCATATAGTCCAGCTTCTCAAATTATTTGCTCAGCATACAGTGAAAAGATACAACCCTGACACACTCCCTTCCTGATTTAAACCATGCAATGTCCTCTTGTTCTGTTTGAACAACAGTGTCCTAGTCTACATATGAGTTCCTCATGAGCACAATTAAATGTTCTGGAATTCCCATTCTTCTCAGTGTTATCCACAATTTGTTATGATCCACACAATCAAATGTTTTTGCATAGTCAATAAAACACAAGTAAACATCTTTCTGGTATTCTTTGCTTTCAGCCGAGATCCATCTGACATCAGCAATGATATCCCTTGTTCCATGCCCTTTTCTGAATCCAGTTTGCATTTCTGGAAGTTCTCTGTCAATATACTGCTGCAACCATTTTTGAATTATTTTCAATAAGATTTTACTTGTGTGTGATATTAATGATATTGTTTGATAATTCCACATTCTGTGGAATCACCTTTCTTTAGAATGGGTACAAATATGGATCTCTTCCAGTCAGTTGGACAGGTAGCTGTCTTCCAAATCTCCTGGCATAGCCAGGTGAGTGCCTCCAGTGAGGCATCCATTTGTTGAAACATCTCAATGGGTAACCCATCAATTCCTGGAGCCTTGTTTTTCCCCAATTCCTTCAGTGCAGCTTCAACTTCTTCCTTCAATACCATTGTTTCTTGATCACATGCCACCTCCTGAAATGGATGAAGTTCTACCAGTTCTTTTTGGCACAGTGACTCTGTGTATTCCTTCCATCTTCTTTTGATGTTTCCTGCATCATTCAGTATTTTGCCCATAGAATCTTTCAATATTGCATCTCAAGGCTTCAATTTTTTTTCTTCAGTTCTTTCAGCTTGAGAGATGCTGAGCATGTCCTTTCTTTTTTGCTTTTCCAACTTCAGGTCTTTGCAGATTTCATTATAATAATTGACTTTGTCTTCTTGAGATGCTCTTTGAAATCTTCTGTGCAGCTCTTTTATCTTGTCACTTCTTCCATTTGCTTTAGCCATATCCATTTAAGTGCAATTTTCAGAGTCTCTGCTGACATCCATTTTGGTCTTTTCTTCCTTTCTTGTCTTTTTAATGATCCTTTGCTTTCTTTGTGGATGACGTTCTTGATCTCATCCCTCAATTCCTCTGGTTTTTGGTCATTGGTGTTCAATGCATCAATCTATTTTTTAAATTGTTTCTAAATTCAGGAGGAATATACTCAAGGTCATATTTTGGCTCTTGTGGACTTGTTTTAATTGTCTTCAACTTCAACTTGAACTTGCATGTGAGCAGTTGATGGACTTTTCCTGACCTTGTTTTGGCTGAAGATATCGAGCTTTTGCATCGCCTCTTTCCACAAATGTAGTCAATCTGATTCCCGTGCACTTCATCTGGCAAAGTCCACATGAATAGCCACCATTTGTGTTGTTGAAAAAAGGTATTTGCAATGAATAAGTTGCTGGTCTTGCAAAATTCTATCATGCAATCTCCAGCGTTATTTCTATCACCAAGGCCAAATTTTCCAACTACTAGTGATTCTTCTTTCTTTCCAACTGTTGCATTCCAATCACTAGTGATAATCAGCACATCTTGATTGCATGTTTGGTCAATTTCAGACTGCAGAAGTTGGTAAAGGTCTTGAATTTCTTCATCTTTGGCTTTGGTGGTTGGTGCGTAAATTTGAATAATAGTATTATTAATTGGTCTTCCTTGTAGGCGTATGGATAATATACAATGATATCAAGTATCATTGTACTTCAGGATAGATCTTGAAATATTCTTTGTGATGATGAATGCCATGCTGTTCCTCTTCAATTTGTCATTCCCAGCATAGTAGATCATATGGTTGTCTGATTCAAAATGGCCAAAACTGGCCCGTTTTAGCTCACTAATGTCTAGGATATCAATCATTTTTGACAACTTCTGATTTTCCTAGATTCATACTTCATACATTCCATGTTCTGATTATTAATGGATGTTTGCAGTTATTTCTTCTCATTTTGAGTCATGCTATATCAGCAAATGGAGGTCCTGAAAGCTTTACTCCATCCACATCATTAAGATTGGCTCTATTCTGAGGAGGCAGCTCTTCCCCAGTTGTATTTTGAGTGCCTTCTGACCTGAGGGGCTCATCTTGTGGCACTATATAGGACAATGTTTCAGGGCTATTCATAAAGTTTTCCAGTAATAGACAGTGTTTCACTGCTACTCATAAGGTTTTCACTGGCCATTTCTTTGAAAAGTGAATGGCCCTTTCCTTCTTCTTAGTCTTTCTTAGTCTGGAAGCTCCACTGAAACCTGTCCACCATGGGTGACCCTGCTGGCATTTGAAATATTGGTGGCATAGTGTCCAGCCTCACAGCAACATGCAAGCCACCATGGTACAACAAACTAACAGATGAGTGGTGGGAAATCCCTATGGAGTACAGTTCTATTCTAACACACATGGGGTCACCATGAGTTGGAGCTGACTTGATGGCAACTGTTTTATGTTTTTGGTATGTGAATCTTGTCAACATATTGTGAGCACAGGCATTATATTGAAGATCACTAGAAAGAAAGACCACCAAAAGTCAACAACCTACCCCAGGGAGAAGGGGAGCACAGGAATGTTGATGTAAATAGCATCTAATTACTCTTTCCTATGACAGTAATAATCTGCCCCACAGTGCACCTTACAGTCATCTGAGGTCACTTTTGTATAGTGATATTTCTCAGAGAGGAGAAAAATGAATAAGGAATTGAGAAGACTGAGCATTTCTTTTCTTCCACCTCCACAGCAAACATTTGTGTTATTGTGAAGACATGCTCTTCATCCAGAGTGACACCCACGGAGGATCACACATATACTGGAAATATACAAAGTAGTGACTGAGCTCGTATACCCATGATTTCAATTGTAGTTTCCTTTGCCAAGAAAGCCATATTTGAGCCTGCTCACCTGAAAAAGTAGAGGCTCTTCTCTTAGGTTGGAAAGGGAAGCTAGAATAATTGTGCAGGTGTGTGTAGTAGTAGTTAAGGTTGTTGTCAACTTGGCTGGGCCTGGTTGAGTGACTGGGCAGTTGGAGGTAGTTATTCCCCACGATGAGACTGGCAATCAACTCCATGGTGGAATCTGCTGCGAACAGCTCAGTAGCTGCTTTAGGGATGTGGTCTGCTTCCCGCATATAAGGAGTAGCTTTGGGATGAGTCTCCAGCCTTTTGGCATGATTGAACCTGTATGTAGCCAAGTCATTGTTCAACAGCCTGCTGATCTTGGGATTTTATCTGGATTTGAATTAGTGGCCTGCCATGGTGTTTAGTAATATTGGGACTGTGCCTTTTTACTTGTCAACCTTGCTTGTCAGCCTCAGCAGCCAGCAGCTGAGTGAAGAAATGCCTCTAGTTCCAGTGGGCCAGGAACAGGAGGCATAGCTGAAGCCCAAGGTTGAGGGGCTTTCACCCAGCCCCTAGAGCCTGGCACTTTGAACTCGAACTTAAAGTCTCCAAACTGTAAGAGAATAAACTCCTGTTTATTAAAGCCATTACATTTGTGGTATATTCCTGTCAGAGTGGCACTAGGTAACCAAAACAGTGTGCATGTGTGTTTAGAGCTGCAAATGTTAAATTAATCCCTAGAAGACCAGGTTTGCTGGTCTGATATAGCCTGGTGGAACCACTGAGACTATAGTCCCTAGCTGCCCTTCAGGTCTGGAATTGAACCCACACCTGTGGCTTCCAGCCAAACAAAAGACAGGCATATGAGTTGAACATTTACCTGAGGTAGACACACTTCTTGAAGAGAACAATCATGGGAGAAAGAAGGGCTGCTCATGCACAGGGAGACAGCTCAGGGGGCAGGAGTGCATGGAGGGATGGACGCAGGGAAGACGTAACTATCAGGAGGAAGTGAGGGAGAACTGTTGCATTGTGGTAAATTGTAGTCAATGTCATGAGACAAAGTGTATGTGAACTGCTATATGGAAAGTGAATTTGCTCTGTACATTTTCACCCAAATCACAATTTAAAAAAAAATACCTAGGATTATTAATATACAGACAAACTTTAAGATACTTTGTCTGTGTCTGAAAGCCAAGTAGAGAAACAATCCTCATCACATGTATACACACCATAGAGCATGCATACTTTTTAAAAAAAATTTTTATTGTGATTTGGGTGAAAGTTTACAGAGCAGATTCACTTTCCATACAGCAGTTCACATATACTTTGTCTCATGACATTGACTGTAATGTCCCAAAATGCAACAGCTCTCTTCCCACTTCCTCCCCATAGTTACCTCTTCCCTGTGTCCTTTCCTTCCATGCACTCCCACCCCACTAGCTATCTCCCTGTATATACACAGCCCTTCTCTTCTCCCATGATTGATCTCTCCAAGGAGTGTATCTACCTAATGTAAATGTTCAGCTCATATGCCTGTCTTTTGTTTGGCTGGAAGC